AGTACAGGGGCAAGAAACTTGTCTTACATGTTGTAGACCCCAATTTGGTCCTCTGCACTGCATATGGTTCCCTGAGCCCTGCCCAAAATGATTTCTGAACACAGAGCCAGGAACAAGCTTTGAGCACCTCAAACAACAAGAGTCTGCTCGTCAGACTCCTTTTAACTTTAAATCTCTATATAGAAGTGTTGTGTAAATTTCTCTGAATGGGTGTGTGTTCATAAAATGTCATACAAATGGAGTTGACATCCAACCTAAAAGGATTCGGTCCTCAAATTTGAAAACCTGGACACTGGTGTACACAGAACCTGAATATCTAGGAGTGTACCTGCTCATTCAGGAGGTCTGAGAGGTGCCCAAGGGTCAACATACACTGCTGGCTACAGGTGCTGCTGCTGCTGATGGTGGTGGTTTTAGGTCCACACTTGGAAATCATAGGTTTACAGCACTGACTCCTAGTCTTGGCTCTATTTCATAGATACCTGGGAAGGTTTAAAGACAACTGATGCCTAGATCTCACCTGTGGACATTTGTCTCAGGTGTGGTGTTGGTACTGAACAGTCTTAAAAGTTCCCTGAGTGATTAAAATAAGCAAATTGCTGGTAATGATGGAGCCAGTCTATTATGTCTGAGGACTACAAGTGTTAAGCTTCTCTAGGAATTTCATTGGAAATGCAAATTCTTGGGCACAAACTTGGAGCCCAAGAAACCTGCTGTATCCTATGTGAAATTTTGCAGGGTTTTTTTTTCCCAAGGTGAGTCACATATACACATTAGAAGGGAGAACTACTGGCCAAGAGACTTTTAGAGTAATCTATTGATCTATGTAAGTGTGCACTTAAAGTAGTAAATTCTACTGTTCCTTCAAGAAGCCTCTTAAAGTAGTTAGTTCTGTTGTTCCCTGTAAATTCTGTTGTTATAAGTGCGATGTATTTTGCTGTTTATATCATGTGTTCAGAGTCATTTTCAGGCACCATTTTCTGGCTCCGGCTGTGTAGCCATGCACAGCACTGGTTTGCATTAGCCAGGCAGAAGCCATGAGAAGAGGTGCCAAACAAAGTCTTTTCCCACGATTGACCATTTAGATCCTCCCCACACACCCAACTCCCAGGGCAGAAAACAAAACAGAGTCTAGAGTTTTCTGCCACTCAATTTAAATTGAGCCCTTCCATCACCACCCACCCAGAGACAGAAGCTTGTCAAAGTCATTTCTGTAGAAGCCCATTTTGAGAAGCCAGCCTTTGCAGATCATCTGAGTTTCTCTCTCCCCAAGGAGTTATGTTCCTCTTGCTTTAGAGAAACTGTCTTTTCTTAAACTCAGCTCTCTTGCTACAAAGCAAGAATCCACCAGTGTAGACTCTTTCTTGCAAACACTGGAGCATATAATTTAATCAATAGTTATGCAAATGATCAAAACTTTATTAGATTGTCATTGCACAGACATGGGTTTGGCAGTTTTTGCTAGTGTATAACAGAAGAGATCAATAATCCCAGCAGAGCAAGTGTTTTAGGAACCAGTTGCATATGTTTGCATAAAATTTATTATTCAAGATGAAAAGCTATTCCTTTTTAAATTAATGTCTTTTGATTTTTAGAAAATTGTATATTCTAATTCATTAACAGAGCTATTCAACATTCTTAATTCATTTATCTTTTTCATTGTGTGACACAAAGCTGCTAGGTGAGAGGTACTATAATCTTGACAAAGAAAAGGTTTTGAAGATTGTGTTTTCCTAATGTCTTTCCAAGTAGTACTTTAGGGGAACAGTGTCTCAAATAATCATAGTGTAGAAAAGCCTTTATGTGATTCATCTGGGCTACGCTTCTCAAACTTGAAGGAGGTGGGAATGAATCATTTGGTGATCCTGTTCCAAAAGATTCACAGTAAATACCAAGAAGGAAGTGCAAGTTGGGCCTGAGACACTGCTAAAAATACAGGTGTTGGAATATATGGGTACACTGACCATAACGAGAGAGTTGGAGTTTAGAACATTGGCTTTCAACGCCAGTCCAATGAACAAATGCTGGCCTGTAGGTGTAGAAAGTTTGAAAGCCCTAATCTAGAGCATTACTTTAACTGCTGCTCCTGGATCCTTGCACTGTCGGGTGCCAATGTATACGTGTAGATAGGTTAAAGAATGCGGGTTTAGAATATTCCCAGTATCTTTTCATAAATATTCAACTCATCTCAAGGTCTCACAAAATCAAATGGCCTGGCATATACATAGTAAGAGGAATGATTTTGTTTAAAGTGCTGATTTGTTCATTTGAATCATCTGAAAACATCAAAAGGTCAAAATTATTCACAGAACCATCATTAATGGATAGCTAATAGGAAAATGAAGTAATTTAAGGCAAAAGCAAAAGTGTAACACAAAATACCTCAGATGAGTACCAGGGCAAAAATGTTGCAAGCTGCTTGCATGCTTGAAGTAGCAATTTACATGTGTAATTAGGTGCAATCAACAGTTTTGAAATGTAATATATTTTCTGAGCCCATATTTACTTATGACAGATGCAAAAAAAATGTGTTCCCAAAAGAAAGAAGGACAGAGAAAGAAAAAAATATTTGCATTTAACAATAGGAATTTTACAAGCACATGCCTAAATTTGGAATAAACAGTTGAAGTATTGTATCTTTATTTTGATTTAATCTTCATTTAAACCTTAAAAGAAGTTCACAATCACATTTTGGAAGTGAATAACAAGCATGGAAGAAAAATAACTCACCACCCAGCTATTACAGCTCCTGCTGGAACTGACATGTAATTTTAATTTCTATACCGTAGAAGGAAAATCTGTCAAATTCAAAACTTCATTGCACAAAACACCATTGACTTTCTTCCTGCCTTTGGAGAGTTTCATTCCTTAAAGATACCAAATATCTTTTAGAATGATTTATATAAAGAAATTAATTAAACTGGCAAGTTCTTTCTAAATCAAGGTCCTCAGATTGAATGTTCATGATGGATTTGTTATCTTTACTATTTTCAGATTCTTTTAAAAAAAATTTTTAGTTTTATTACTTCATTTTACCAGGCAATGATTGTGAGAGTTCACAATGTACTAAGGCATTCTGCTAAGCACTTTACACAGATAATTTCACTTTCCATTACAAAACACTGTAAGAATTGATTTATTACAATGTACTAGAGGAAATGGAGAGTAAGTAACTTCTTTAAAGGCACAAAGCCATATTTGTTTTTTTAAAGGGTACAGTGTTATGTAAAATGTCATAATGTCACTAAATATGTGTAGTGAATCACAGACTAAAGTCAGCTCATTTTATTTCCAACAAGGTCCCAGTTTTAAAAAAGTGTGCATTGGTGGGGATCTTGGCCACTTGGATGGTGGTGAGCTGAGGTAACTGTGTACCCCATTGACCATACATATCAACATTGTTGTAAACACTTTCCCTTAACTGTAATACATTTTTAAAAAATGAAAAAGAGCTTGAAATCGAGTTTTTAAGAAAAAGGAGAATAAGTAACTCAGCCTTCCCCCACCCCCGAGTTTTTATTTCCAAAAGGCTGTTCACATTTGCATTCTCCAGATTGACTGCGCTGATTAAAGTGGCAATTTATTTCTGACACACAGGTAGAGTTGGAGATTAAGATATTGCACTGAAAGATGTGTTCTAGGTAACAGCACTTATTGGGACAGTGTATCTTGATAATATAGAAAAGTTGACTTTAAGTTAATGCCAAGCTGTCATAAGATGAACAAATGCATTGCTCTAGTTTCATTAGGCAGGCGTTATCTGTGATACATTAGATGTAGGGGGCGGGGGAATCACCCTCGGCTGAGAAATGCATGAATCGTTCATTTATATGCTGATCCATTTGGAGGCATTATGGAACTCAAAGCCCAGAACAATGGACTGTCTTTAATATTAAAAAGGTTCTAAATAGCACGCTCTTTCTCTCCATAGCAGCTAGCTGGTTCTTCCCGACGTGCAGAGTTGCTGTACCACTTGCTGGTGAAGTTGTCAGCGACTCCCCCAAACCCAGCGGTGTTTAACGAAATCCCCACCACACCACCTGACAGTCAGTGATCCCCGATTCAAGAACCTCCAAGTCTACCTTTGGCCCCTTGAGCTACCAGTATTCATAGATCAGGTACCGCCTGACCTGGGGGTTCCCCCGACCCACCCCCCTGGGGTGTGCTGGACCTTGCCCTGTGAGGGACCAGCTTCCTGCACCGGCGACCACGGCGGTGGGTCCTCATCGCGCTCTTCACCGTCCCTGCGCCTCCCCGGCCGCCCACCTCCACGCGCGAGTCCAGCGCTCCGCAAGACTCGCGTGCTCCGGCACTCGAGGCCCCACCCCTGCCCGGCGGGAGCCGGCTAGCGGAGGTCGCTTTGGTGCCCAGGATTTGCCACGGGCTCGCCTTCACCCGCAGCTTCCCCGTGCCAAGGCGGCGGGGCTCGGAGCTGCCCGCAGCGCTGTTCCACCCCGGAGCAGGCGAGAGTTCGGGGTGCCGCACCCGCACGCTCCGCGGGGCCGGTCGGGGACCTGACCCCGGAGCCACGCGCGGCCGCGGGAGGGAGGGAGGAGGAGGAGCGACCCAAACCCGCGCGGACCAGGTGGGGGTCGCCCGGGGCTGGGGACTCGGGGTGGGCACCCCACCGCCCACTCTCCGCTGGCTCGGCTCCTGGCAGTCCGCGCTGCCCCCGGCGGACCCAGGTGGAGAAAACCCCCTTCTTGGTGCGCGGCTCTGGGGAAGCGGGCAGAGGTGCGGGGTCGGCGCCGGGTCAACGCGCCCCTGTCACCGCTCCCCGTTTGGCGCCCGGCCGGGCCCCGCTCCCGGCGGCGTTCGGGCGGCTTCTTCCAGTAACTTTGTTCGGAGGGTTGCGGGGGAGCGCGGGGGAAGCCCCAAGGAGCCCCGCGAGAGGCTACGGAGCGCCGAGGCTCGCGAGGCCGGGTAGGAGCGCGGGGCCCCGGAGCCGCCCCGGGGCTGGGCGCGCTGCGGGCTGGAGGCGCCGCGGCCGCCGGGACGCGCCGGGCTCGGCGGGGCCGCCGGGGCCGCCTGAAGGCCACCGTTCCAAGGACACGCGGCCGCCCGCTCCTCGCACGCCGCGCACCAGACGCCGCCCGCGGCCGAGCCGAGCAGGCGGGCGCAGCCTGGGCGGGCGCGGGCGAAGGGGTGGCGGGAGGGCGGGCGCGCGGGAGGCGGCCCCTCCTCGGCGAGCCATGCGTGCCGCGGGCCGCTGAGGAGCCGCCGAGCGCCGCTGCCCAGACTCCGCTCCGCTTTTGTCTTGCCCTCCAGTGAATGGGAAGATGGAGATGGATGTTGCGGGAGTTTCTCCGCGCCCGGAGCCCATCCCCCGCTCCCAGGGGGCTGGCGGAGCCTGCCAGGCGCCGCCACCGCCGCCCCAGCCCCAACCTCAGCCGCAGCCCCAGCCCCAACCCCAGCCGCAGCAGCAGCAGCAGCAGCAGCAGCAGCAGCAGCAGCAGCAGCAGCAGCAGCAGCAGCAGCAGCAGCAGCAGCAGCAGCAGCTGGCTCAGGATGAACTGCCCGACCCGAGTGCAGGCGCTGAGGACAGCGACGATCCGGAGGCGAGACCCAACGGCGAGAAAGGAGAGAGCAAGGTAGGTTCACAGTGTTGGCGCTGTGACACCTTTCGAAGAGAGCAAGGCGCTCTAGTAGCTGTCACTTTAACCCCGTCCGCAACCCCCCCCACCCCGCCCCCTGCCCTCGTTCGCCTCGGTGCAGGGGCTGGGGGCGGGGGTGGGGACGGGAGGCGTGAGATCGAAGCGAATCGATGGGCGGTAGTGACTTTCGGAACTGGAAAGCTGGTGCAGAAGTCTGTCCTGGTGCTCGTGTTAGGCGGTGTGTCCCTAGAAAAGTCTTCTGGTACATGCGATGCTCAGGGTAGGACGAACCCCCAGGACATCATGGTCGGGCGACCTTTGCTTACCCGCACGGAACCAGGCGTTACCGGCACGATCTGGGTCAAAGGGGAAGCATTAAGTGTCCTGGAGCTGCCAAGTGGCTCCTGAGACTCCTCGGAGGGAGAAGAAATTAAGCTACAGATGACGACAATGGGAGCAAAGTTTGGCCCATTTGCAGAATGGGGAGCCCAGCTTTAGTCAGCTCCCGGCTCCTCCTGCCTGGGATGCCTCCAGCCTAGGAGGGCAGGGACCAAGGGTCTGGCAGCAGATGAGCTCCGTAAATCTTGTGCAGCCCTGCTGTGTCATTGTGGACCAGGGGGTAGCTGCTCCTTACGGTGGAGACAGGAGTTCTTCAGGTAATTGGATTCTAGTAAGAAATGGCTCACATGTCACTCTCTGGTGCCGGTGTTTCTTCTGCGGAGAAAATTGTAAAACGGAGGAAATGGCATAGGAAATAATGACTTGGTAATGTTATTAAAGTGTATTTCTTATGGCTTTGGCTTGTAGCACAGACCTCCTCTCTCTCTCCAGACACACTTGGAGTTCAGTTGTGCAGAAATGAGGGTGGTTCAGTTTTAGGCGGGTGCGAAGTGCACACACAAATCTGTTCATCGGCTTGGAAACTGGAAACTAATGTTGGGGAAAAGTTGGTTCAACAAATCAGGCTGTTGGAGCCAAAGCAAGGTCAGTCACTCTACTTTGTCACTGTTGCTTATTTGAAAGAAGTGTACTTTTCTTTGGAAAAGAAGAGCATGTCACTAACTTCTCCTCCTGGGGGAGATGGCCTTGGTGTCTTTTTGGACCATTTTGAAGGTATTAGTGGATTTTATGGGCCATATTGTGATCACACTGAGTGTTGCTATGCTGTATTTTGGAGACAGACTCAACAAATGGACATTATCAAATCTTTATTGTCATTTTGTGTTTTGGAACTAAGCTAAGAATTGAGGTTGTTTCTCTAACAAAATCCATATTGTAATTTAAATGGCAGTCTACCAAGGAACTGGGATTTGAACACTTGGTAGACTGAACTGGGGCGCCTTCAAATACATACAAGGTTTATATTGTGGGATTAAAATAAAACCAACTATGATGAATTTAAATATTTTAATATCCTCTGCTTGTAGTTGCTTTTGGTTTCATTAATATTTAATTCTGTCATGACTGTGTATTTACGATTTGAAATGACTATCTATGGTCAGTTTTTGGAGATCACTATAAACTGAGCATCGTATTACCTAATGAACTTTGAGTCTCCTTTGTAAAATAGGTGCGGGGAATAATTTGAACAGAAGGCCAGTGCTGCCATTACCATATTGTTGGTTCATATGCCCCGAGCAGGAAAAATTCCTGCCATCAGCAGAAATCTGTTCTTATTTGTTTCCCTTTGATGCACCATACAGACTGTCTAATGTTCTTCTGGTTGTGAGGAATAAGGAAGGCAATGCACTCCAAATATTATAGCAGGTGAAGCGAGGACTGAAAGCGGTTTGATTACATTTAGTTAATTAGCATGTTCAGATAATTGAGTATTCCACTGATGTGATTTTACTTTATGTTTGTCTGCAATTTTTTTGAGATGGAAACAAAATACTACTTTTTTCTCCCCCTCCAGGTGTTTGCCTTAAAAAATTTTGTGGCCTCCTTCTCTTCACCCAGAAATCAGCTCTGTTAACCCATTGTTTCTTGCCTTTTCCTACTGATTCTTCAAAGGGCTCCAGGGTCGTTGCTGTGTTCTAGATTTGAGTAACTCTTTTAAGTCTTGATGGATACTGAGACAAGTTACAAATTGATTTTTCTTAGGATATACTGTTATAATTAGTGGGAAGGCTTTTGGGTAACTGACCAATCACATTTATTCTACTAAAATATAAATGGAAGACAAACTGGGATAAAGTGGAATGTGGTTTTAACAAGCTCTTTGAGGTAAGCGGAGGAGATTATCACAGCAAGATTTAAAAACAGTAATATACAAATATCATGTATTGGGCTCCCACCTTTTCTTCTCATGAGTATAATAAAAATTTTGAATACTGTATTTTTTATCTTATATCTTGCCCCCAAGAAAGGGTACTCTGCAGAGAATATCAATAGATACATCCTCCACCCCCCCACCCCCCAGCAATAAAATGTCATGGTAGTAACAACAATTTTCAGATTCTGGTTGGGGGTGATGGCTTATTTTGTTTGTGTGCTTCTTTTTCATGAATTTACCCAGTGACTTTGTTTGTTTTGGTCACACGTGGCATTTCTTAGGACTTACTTCTGACTCACTGCTCAGGGATTACTCCTGGTGGGGCACAGGGACAATATAGAGTGCCAGGGATCGAACTCTTGTCTGCTACATGGAAGAAAAGTGCTCTACTAGCTGTGCTATCGCTCTGGCTCCCAGTGACTTTCTGTAAATGGAATTGGAGCTTAGTAGTATATCAACTTGTCTTCTACATTTAGGTTCATAATGTCACCTCCTCAGAAAGTTTCTGAAAGGAAAAGACTAGAAAACTAGGTTAGACAAGGGTATTTTCATTTCAGAATTTTGTGATGTGACTTGGACTTTCTGTTAGTGGAATAAAATTGAATTGTCTGATTCCACTCTAGCAATGACTTTTCTTTTTCTTTTTCTTTTTTTGACTTTTTGGGTCACACCTGGCTATACTCAGGGGTTACTTCTGACTTTGCACTCAGGAATTACTCCTGGCAGTGCCCAGAGGACCATATGAGATGCTAGGGATCAAATCTGGGGCTGCTGTATGCAAAGCAAACCCTACCCAGTGTGCTCTGACCCCCCAGCAACAACTTTTCAAAACAAAAGATAAGGCAGTTATATGTGGTGTATTTTCCCACTCCATCAATGAGATAGGGCCCATATTGACCATATTTCTTCTGCCCTTTGAGAAACAGTTTTATACGAAATCCTAAAAAGAAAAAAAATCCGTCTCCTCATTCTAAGACAATATGCTCAACCCTTCTGGTGATCTTCATGGGATATTTCCTCTAACATCTCAAGATTATCCTCCTCACATCTATAAAGAGGCTCTCTTAAGTTGGTCAAACTCCTTTAATCTGGTTTTACAGATGAAGATTAAACAGTCCTTGTTTTTAAGCAAAAGACCTTCACATCCCTCAACCTTCACCCGGTTTTGATTGTCCTCAATTTTCTGTTGGCCTTTAACATTCTTTCCTCTTTGTATCCTTTAAGATGCTTCAGAAATGCTTTATTTATGTGGAATAACTTAGCTCTTTCTGAAACTTTCTCTGGAAGAAGTTTTTAAAAGTATCCAGCGCCGAATATCTTACTCCATCTATGCTATCCTATTTTCCATGAAAATGTGTGAATTATTCCTATGATAACATATGAATAATGTATGACTCTTTCTTGTTTGCTTTATCTTGTTTCCTCCCCTTTTCTTCCTCTCTTTCTCTCCCTCTCTCACACATAAACATGCTTTCCCCATTGACCATACTGTTTTGTAAAGAGGTGTGTATTTATGTCCCAGATGTGAGGTATTATGAGCAACCCTCTTTTTTTTTCAGTTCTTCTGAAAACCTTGTTTTTTGCAAAATTTATTGTTCTTGTGACTGGATTCAGAGACTATGCACAACCAGTGATAGGCTTAACTGATGAAGGTGAACCAAGATTCTCTCCTCAACTGTGTGTTATCAATAGTGCTGCTCCAACCCTTTGGTCTTACAGTGGAACATAGAATCTTTTATCTAGCTGGTCAAGTCTTTCTATAAAGTCCTTTTATTTTGGGGAGAAGGAATCTGGGAATTGAACCCGGAGTCTCATACATGTGGAACATTCATCACTGAGCTACATCTTTGACCTCTAAGGCTTTTTTTTTAACTATTTTGAAATACTCTCAAGCTCATTCAAAGTTGCAAAGATAAGATGGAAAGTTCTCATATACCTTTTATCCAGCTTCCCCTCAAGTCCGCATTCTACATCAGCATGCTAGAATGATCAGGGTGAAGAAATAGTTTGAAAAGATTAGGACATTTGTTTTGTCAGTTTTGTTGAATGATTTTGTGACATATTGATGCTCTACATTTCACCCTTCTAGGATTTAAAACTTTGCTAGAATCTTAAAATCTTCTGCAGAGAATAGTTAAGGGCAAAATTTAACTTCAGGTTGATAATCTCTTCCTTTTTTTTTTTTTTTTGGTGTTGCGGAGCAACTTGTGAAGTACAATGATTGAGATTCTTGAAGACCTGCATCAAGCATCAGTGAGCTCTATGGGAGTTACAAGTTGGGCAAAGCTCTTGAGAGCTGTTAAATTCTGGATAGTGATAGTCTTTATTATATCACCCTGAAAAACTCTCCAGGCAAGATAGGGTTTGCCAGTATGCCAAGAACAGCAAAATCTCAGTGGCAAGTAGAAGAAATGAAGCAATTGATATAATCAAGATGGTTCACTTAGAAAATGCCTAACCCCTTGGATTAGGGGTGTGTGTGTGTGTGTGTGTGTGTGTGTGTGTGTGTGTGTGCGCATACATACACACAGACACACACAAACAAACCCAAAACAGGCACAAAAGCAGGCATAATAATAAAAATAAGATCAACATGGAGAGTATCATGCTAAATGAAATGAGTCAGAAAGAGAGGGACAAACGTAGAAGGACTTGTTCTCATTTGTGGAATATAAAGCAACAGAATGGGAGACTAACACCCAAGGATAATAGAGATAAGGAC